AATGAAGCTTTTAAGAGTTTAAGAAATTCGTTCAAGATCACACTATTAGTATTAGAGCTGGGGATTACACACAGATTTGGTTGATATCTCTCTCTTAATGTTGTCAAGTTAAAAGATTGATGCTGCTGAAAGAAAGAAAAATATCTGGAAATCGTAATAGGCCAAAGACCGTAATAATGTTTCGGGGTTCTGCTGTAGTACTGTTGTGGGTTTACTCCCTTTTTAGAGTCAGCCTGACACTGGACACTGAGAGAAGGTGTAGCTCTACAGATCTTGCGAAGTGGGCTAGCCGTTCCCTGCATTCAGCATTTATCATTTTTGTAAGTGAGTGTTACATCACCTACATTTTTTTAAATCGGCTCTGTTGGGCAATGATATTACTTCATGTTTTAAAAACCTTTGAATTTAAGTTTTGAGCAAATAACTCATACTCATGGTTCAAAACCAAAAATTCAAAATGTGAGAAATATTCCACATTATGTATACTGCATAGCCCCAGACCACCATCATGCAGAATTGCCATATTACCCCATGTAGAAGACGCTCCCATGTATAAGACACACCTTAATTTTGGGGCCTGAAATTTGAAAAAAAATGTATCACATAAAGTTATTGGACTCAAGTTTTATTCATCATAAAATTCATACAACTCCTCATCACTGTCAAAACTCCCAACCATTAGCTTGTCCTCATCTGTGTCTGATGAATCACTGTCTTCATATATTGCCTCGTCCTCAGTTCCATCTATGGCATTTGAAATGCCACACTTCTTAAATGACTTGACAACGATCTACAACCACTGTGTAAGATGCACCCAGTTTTTAGACCCCAAATTTTTCGAAAAAGGGTGCGTCTTATACATGGGGAAATATGGTAAGCATTCTTAGTTGCTTGTGTATCCTTTCAGCAAATATGAATGTAGATTATATTCCTCTTTTGTTAACACAAAAAGCATACTATTTTGAACTTTGCATGTTTTACTCAACAACTTATAGTTCTTTCCATGTAAAATGTAGAGACCTTCCTCTTTTTTTTTTTTTTGATAGCTGCATTGTAATGATGGACCGTATTTTATTTAACCAGTCCGCCTCTGCTGGGCACTTTCTCTCTCAAATGTTTGCTGTTATAAACAGAAAAATATGAACATGCGTCATCTCATATGTATGCACGTATCCCTATAGAATACTTCCTTCCTAGAGGAATTACTCGGTTTTTAATTTTGAAGATACTACTACTGACTTACCTCCATGAAATTCGCCCCAACTGCCATTTCCGCCAGCATTGCGCTGGCGCTTCAGCACCCTCAGAGTCTTGATGCCAGTCATTTGCTGTCAAACTTTTTGAATTTTGGCCATCTGAGGGGTAAAAATTGTTTTAATTTCTATTTTTTAATGTCTATTTTTCTCGTGGGCAAAGTGGAGCATCTCTTTGCTGGGGCCGTTTACATATTCTTTTGTATATACTGCCTTTTCCTAGCCCTTCCTCATTTACTTCTCTGGTTAGGTAATTTCCAGTGGGCATCTGGGAGGCATCTATATATATATGTGTGGATATATGTGTGTATACATATGTAATATTAGCCTTTCTTGATAGGAATTGGAAATGTTACCCCCCAATTTATTTATTTTTAAAAAGTTCACTTTATTGAGGTATAACTGACATGCAAAAATTGCAGGATAGTTAAAGTGCACATTGTGGGGCTTTGATATATATATATATATATATATATATGTATATATATATGTATATATACATATACATACTTTATGAAAGGATTCTCTCCGTCTAGTTAACCCATCCATCACGTCACATCTCTCTCTCTCTCTTTCTCTCTCTCTCTGGTGGTAACATTTAAGTTCTATTCTCTTAGCAAATTTCAATCATACAGTGCAGCATTATCAACTGTAGTCACCATGTTATACCATCAGATTCTCAGACCTTATTCAAGTATAGATAAAAGTTTGTATCCTTTTTATTAACCTCTCCCTACAACTCCCACCCCCAGCTCCTGGCAACACTTTTCTACTCTGAGTTGGACTTTTATTTTTATTTTATTTTTTAAGAGTCCACGTATAAGTGATCCCATGCATTATGTACTTTTCTCTGTCTGGCTTGTTTCACGTAGGATAAGGCCCTTAAGTTCTGTCCTTGTTGTTACAAGTGGCAGGATTTCCAGCCCTTTTTATGGCTGAATAGTATTCCATTGTGTATATATACCACTACTTCGTTATTCATTCTTCTATTGATGAACCAAATGGGGAAATATTTTCCCCCAATTTATTTGTCTTTTGATTTTGTTCATGGTATATTTTTAAGCAGTTTTTCTTGTTGTTGTTTGTTTTTACTTCTTATATAATGCAGCAGTATAAATGTCAAATACATCAAACAGTAGAATTAAGAAAAAGGCCTTGGGAAAATTAAGGACCAAGGAATTGCTATAGAGAACTAGGTAAAGTCTTATGGCAGTTTCAACAGAAATATGTGTCTATTCAGCTCTTATTAATAAGCATTTATTTCGTGTCAGAAACTGGGTCCAGAAGTGGGAAGATGTTGTGGTGAGCCAAATCAGATACAGCCCTTGCCCTTACGTATTTATTTATTTATTTATTTATTTATTATTTATCATTTATTTATTTATTATTTTTTAAAGATTTTATTGGGGAGTTGGGGAAGGGGAACATTGTCTTTTTCCAGGACCCATCAGTTGCAAGTCAAGTTGTTGTCCTTTAATCTTAGTTGTGGAGGGCACAAGCTCAGCTCCAAGTCCAGTTGTCGCTTTCAATCTAGTTGCAGGGAGGGGCACAGCCCAACACCCCATGTGGGAGTCGAACCGGCAACCTTGAGCATGCGCTCTCACCAACTGAGCCACCTGGCTGGCCCTGCTCTTACGTATTTTTAAATTTACTGGGATGACCAACATTATCAGATAATAAAAAATATGTTATAAAATTGCCATTGGTAAGGGCCTTCATGTATCCTGTGCTATGAGACAGTATCGTAGAGAGATTTAAATTAAGGAAGTCAGTGGGAACTGCAGTGAATTATTCAATGTGCACAGGAGGTCGCCGGCAAGGGTGGGAGAGGAGCCACGTAGGCAGAAGGGCCGCATCTTGTTGCTGAGAGTGGTGTGTTTGAGGGACTGAGAGAAGGTTGGTGCGCCTGGTGGGGAGAGAAGGCCAGCCGAAGCTGGATGGACGGACAGGTAGATGGTGGGATGGGATTGAAGCGGGAGTAAAGGGAAGAAAAGAAAGGGCTGACGGATTGGGAGAAACTGCCTTGGATTCAGTTAGTAGAAGCTCCTAGGAAGTCGAGAAAGCGTCACAGCAGAACACACAAAGGGGGATAAGAGCAGGTTATGGTCATGGGATTGGGGTGGGGGAGGTTTAAATACTTACTTTGGAGAAGATGCAGTTAAATGTGATCATGTTTTAACTTTGGAAAAGCTATTCTGCAGATGGCGAGACTAGACAAGGAGAGGTCAGATAACCCATCTTCGGAAGCAGAAAAGGAACATGGGTTTCCATGTCCTCGGTGTTCCTGGTCCTGCTCCCGAGATGGGGCTGATGGAACAGGTGCCAGCGAATCGAGAGGTTCTTGAAGTCCCTGCGGTTCTCTGAGAAGCTCCAGGCCACAGTGATGGTGTCTTGTGCTACGGATTCCCCGGTGGCTCCAGGCTGGCTGGCTGACCAGGCTGGTCCCAGTCACTTCATCATATCTTACATGGCTGAAATTTTTGGATTTCTCTTATCACGAAATGGTGCTGTCCCATTTCTTTGGTTTACTCGTTATCAAGAAGTTATGTTCTCTGAATTCTTTAAGGAATATTGATACATTTTTACTGGTTCGTCAATATTTTCTCTGCATTTTGACCAGTGTCATATATTTGTTAGAGTGTGGCTAGGGCTATAATCAGCAACTAGAACAGAAGATGCTAACTGGCATATATGGAGCTTAGATTTTAATTTGCCTTAACCCGCATGTGTTCACAGATACAGCTCCAAATAATAGTAAGCGGAAAGGCAAAACCATGAATACATCTAAGAGAGCCACATAAATGCTAAGTGTTAAGATTTCAGTATACTTTACATGCATGTGTTATGTTCAGAACCACCTCTTTCCAGTGTTTGGTGGGAGTTGATTGGAAGTTCTTTCTGAGAAGTAGAGGTTGGCTGGGAGGAGCGATTACAGCAGAGTGGGAGAGATGGATGACGGGAAGGGAGTAGCGAGGGAGGCTGTTGTAAAGGATCCTTTTCCGGATGAAATCAGTGGACTCATTGCCATTTAGAGAGTCAGGGGGATGGGAACTTGGGAAGATGATTGGTGGGTCCAGAAACGGGGATGAAACATGGACCTAAAACTTCTAAACAACACCCTAAGTATCTAGCGTGATGGCTCAATATGACCCCTAGTTCAAGGTTGGGGACAGTTGGTTCAGAGGTTGATGTTAGATGAATGCCAGTGTTTTGAAGAGGAAATGGGTTTATTAAAAGGCAGATGTCATAAAATTACTGGACAAAAGGACGTGTGAAATCCAGATGTTCAGGTAGTGTCTACTGTTGATATCACTGGGTGTTGGAATGAAACGGTTTCTTTGGATTCATTGACTTGTCTGAGCCTCCAAGCCAGTTGAATACTAATGACAAAAATGCCAATGACTTGTGGTTCTGCTTTGAATCTCTGAAACCCCCATCTGTCCAGATGCCTTTGTTTGCCTTTCACCCATCACATGGAGAATGTGGTTTCTTTTCATGGGCCAGTGAAATCAGGGCACTGTTTTGTAATACACTGGCGGAGATAGCAGTTGTCTTATTTCCTTTTTACATACGTGTTTAGATTTTTCTAAGGCAAAAAAGGACTGCGCCTGACAAGTTGCCACAAATCTAAATGTCAAGACGATTGGGACCGTGCCCCCGGACACACTTGTCTTGGTGGCATATTTGCACAGATGCCGTCGACTCTTTTATCATGAAGGGTAATGCGTTGCACTTTCCTGTGTGCAGACTGGTGATGTACATCGAGAGAGACAGCAGGAACACCACTCCAGGCAAGGAGCCGCAAAGCAGCCATGAGTACCTGTCCAGATGCCTGGACCTCCTCATCCGTCACATCGTGCAGGAACTGCCGCGAATCCTGGGTAAATCAGAGTCTCAGCCTCAAGCCCTTTGCTGCTTACGTTTCTGCGACTTGGCTTTTAGGCGTCCCCTTCTTTTTCCTCTTGCTCGTCTGTCATTGCAGGCGAGTGCAAGGACACTTTTTCTTGGATGTGTAGTTTCAAGATTTAAATGTGCCTTTTTTATTTTCATAATTATTTTGCATCTGTGACATGATTGAGGCACAAACAGACTAAAGGTTATGTTGAGGTATCATCTGTGATAAACTGACGATTTTGGAAAATAAATGAAAGCATTTTAATTGCTTAAAATTGGATTTACGCTCTTTTGGGTAACTTTTCTTCAGATTTCTCTGCCTAGTTTTGAAGAAATAATTTTCCCTTCAGATTAGAACCATACATTTATTTATTGTTAAAATAATTTAAAAATGCATAGGCTGTTTTTTGGTTTGTTTTTTTTTAGAGGGCAGTGTTACTGGCCCTCATATGTGGGATCCGAACCAGGGCTCTCTGGCGTCCCAAGCCAGCTCTTAACCAACGCGCCACTTGGCTGGCCCTGCATAGGCTTTTGATATGAAAGTTCAAAGTTTGAAAATTTCTTTGGTTTGAGACATTTAAAATAAAAATAATAATGATTTGCGAAGGATATTATGGGTAATCCTTTATTTCGTTGTTACTTGCAGAAATTAAAACAATGTAAGGAATGTGTACATTTAGTGTAAATCCCATTCCATGCCTTTCCAGCAGATGTAGCTATAAACCAGAAATGTTTAAAATGTTAAATTTGATCCAACCCATTATGGTGAAATATACTTAGACTCTGCAATTCAGAATATTAAATCAGAGTAATGAAAATATCATCATGGTGGATTGACAGCACCTTTTTGCTCCTTGCTGATTCTTGGGGAGATATTTTGCCTGTTAATAACTGAAAATAGATCATTTCAAAAGTTATTTTGGATTGTAACCTTTCTTTAATCTTCAACCTGAAGGTTACAATGTGACCAATTTGTAGTTCAGTTTCTTATTACTAGATTCATCCTGTTTTAGGATATGATGAGTCATCCAATGAGAAGTTTTATGAATTAATCTATTTTTATTTCCATCTATTGTATTATTTAAAAATTGTGATCTATAATCTGTTCACTTCTCATTTAAAATATTTTTTTCCTGTTTACCAAAGTAATGCTTATTTGGAAAACTACAAAAAAAAAAAAAAGGAAGAAAAATCATTTCTAAAACCACCACTCTACCATACTATTTATAAATTCTATTTTAAATTTCTAGATGAGAGTTGGAGTGTATACTCATTCTCTCCCCAGAGGACACACTTTATTGTTATGATCTCAATATTTGTGAGTTAAATAACACAGTTTCTACCCACTTCTTTCATTTGGAGTGTCATTGCCTCAGTAATCCCATTAACGTGCCAGCAGTGGCCAGTGGTCCCTGAGTACCTGTGGTCTTTAACCTCCATGCACGCTCCGCAGGTGACATTCTCAATGCCTTGGCTAACGTGTCTGGCCGTAAACATCCATCAACAGTTCAAGCGAAGCAGCTGAAGATGTGTCTCCCACTGATGTCCATAGTGCTTCACCTCGTAACTTCTCAGGTACCATCTTTATAAGAAAAAAAAACAAAAAACTGTGCCTCCCTCCTTTGTAAACTGTAACTGAGAAATGCCAACTCAGACAAAACATTTCCTGTTTTTCCCCTTGCACATGGCTTTCAGGATTTAACCTATGGAAACTTTCACCACACAGGTATTTCGACCTCAGGTTGTAACAGAAGAGTTCCTTTTCAGCTATGGAACTATACTTGTGAGTAACACTTGAGTTTTTCATGTTCCTAATAAAAATGTGGCTGTCTACACTGTTTGTGGAATTTGGTGTCAGAATGAGGTAATTTTAAAATCCTTGTGGTATTTATTTGTCTCTAGGGAAGTGACCTTTTTATAGTTTTATCTGTTGACTGTAATAAAAATTGACATTTGCAGAAAAATACATTCTCTCCTGATAATGTATGTTGTTCAGAGACAGCCCCCAGGAGGGGTAAATAAGTCCACAGAAAGCACTTTCGTAGATTTTGGTATTAAGTGTCGTGAAAAAATTTAAAATAATCAAACTGAATGCTGGGAATGTAATATCATTCGCTTTGGATTACATTGTCCAATTATGTGCAGTTTCTCTAAGTTAAGCTCAATTTAACTTTTTTTTAAATTTAATTTTGATGAGATGGGTAGCAGTGAAAAGTAAATCATTGTGGTATCTTTCACTTCAGGTTTTGCTTGCAAAAAAATAGTCCCTTTGTTCCGATTGTGGCTCATGAGTTATGTTACCTTTTTCCATTGCCTGGCATCCTTAGAATATATGTCATTGATAAAACGGGAGCTATTCGGAGGGAAAGCAGAGACATTTGTCACACAGCATCCCCAGTCTTTGTTATTAATAATAAACACTGAACTGAGATCTTAAAAATGCCATAGAGGTATCTAGTTAAAGTGAAGTAAACACCTCAAGTTTATGGTTAATTTGGATTTAAAAAAAATTATTGTCACCTGCAAGTGGGAATATGATTTTTGAGAAGGTTCATCATGGGGTGAAGTGTGAAGCTTGGAAACACAAATGTTGAATGCAGGTCACTGAGTTTTAGTATGAAGTGTGCTCAGGCAATGTGGTAGGGGTTCTTTGGCGCTCAATTTCAACTGTTTATCATCCTAGCACCTCGAATCCCAAGCTCTACAAAGTATATAATTTTGGTTATATACTTATGAGTTTGCAAATTATTAGAATTTTGTTTACCACCTTCTTTAATTTGCTTTTCAATCTGTTTTTAAGTACACCACGGGTATCATTTTAGCATGACTGTAATTCTGTATTTATAATTCCATTGTACTATATTTTGATGGCCGAAGGTAGTAATTGTGCCCTTGCAGCCCACCTTGCAACATCTTGGCACAGTATTTCTTTGGGAGAGGTAAGACTGTCCTGTGTTTGTTCTCTTATTTTTTTCTCATGTGCAGTACTTTTCTCTGCCTACATCAACTGGGTACGCTTTAGTCTTTCAAGGAACTACCAAGTGTCTCCAATATGAAGGTCTTGATGGACTTTCAGGAAGAACATACACATGTTTTAGGGAGAACTCCTCTGCTCCACGGAATGCTATCTTGAGAAACAAAATGGGGGGCACACTGAAGAATAGTGTCGTCATCTCCCAGGAGTGAGATCTTCTGTGAGGGTGGGGGAGTGTTTTGTAGGGCCTTCTTAGCATAGGTCCTTTTAGGGAATGGAAAATAACTTGCCTCATTCAAAGATAATTACGATATTGGAAAATCTTTATCAGTTTTTTCCCTTATAATGTCACTCAAGTAGATGGAGTTCAGGCAAATAAAATGGAAAATAGTCTTCAGACTATTTTCCTAGTTTGAATCATGGCCAGTCCCAGCATTCTTTTGTTATTTATTTATTTATTTATCACATCTGTTATTTGGCCTTAGCTGTGTATTCATCTTTCTCATACTCAATGTTGATGGCATTGATGAAGTACTAGTAAAAGGGGAGAAGCATTGACTAAAATTAATTCTCAGGATTTAGTTATCTACCCAGTTCTGGTGCACATTCTTATGAACTGTTGAGTGTTGGCTGTTGCTTTTATGAGTTTATTCATGATCTATCCAGAAGAGGCCAAAAAAGGATTGAAGTCCCAGTGCCCTACTGATGTCACAAGGTACAGTCCAGTCTCCCAACATCTTACAGCCCCTCAGAAATTCACAGTGCAGAGGCCTATTATAGCCTCTTGAGTTTTTGGCTTTCAAAGAACTTGCTTTAATTTTGCTTAAACAAAGATTTCCTAAACTTGTTTGAGAGTTTTTGTTTTTGCTTTGGGCCGCACAGCTCTAAATGTTCTGTAGACCAGTCTACACGATGACTTTGTGAAATTGCCCAGAGCATAGTACATCTCTTCCCGGTGGTCTGAGGAAGCAGCCCATTCATATGTATGTACTTAGCACTGTGTTCTGAAAACCTTATTGGTCCATTAGAGATAAATATACCATTTTTAGTGTTTATCAAGATGGACCTGGTAGAGTAGCTACTGTACTATGGTAGGTCTATTGTCCTTTTATATTTTATAAATATGCCTTAATTTGAAGTGATTCAAGCTTGGTTCACCTTTAGTAACTGTACCTGGTAGCATCAAGCTGCTGCCAAGAACCTCTTGGGTTTCTGCTAAAGCTGCTCTCCAGAAGCTGCTGGGCTGCCTCGGGTGGGTGTGGTGGGTGTGGAGACGGCAGTCAAGGTTGGTGTGATCGCCTCTCATTAGAAGAGTTGTCAAGGAGCAGGAAGGTGGGGGCGTTGGAATTGTGCGTCCCATTGGCTTCAGTTTTCATACTGGCACCAGGGCATGGTTTGCATGTTGTATATAGACATCCTTTATTTTGGGGGTAGAAAAATTCAGGATACTTCTTAAATATGGAGGCATGATTATATGAATTAACTTTTTGTAAACATTTTTTTCTCAAGTAAAATCAAGTCTTGATCTCCTATTTTAAAGAGGCTAGTGTTTGGAAATTATTTAGCAGGGTGCTTGTAAACCATTATTAAGCTTTCAAAGGCTCCAGGTGAAAGACTACACAGCTGATAATTGCTGTTTTCACTTCTTATTGGCAAAGCAATGTGTCATCATACCTGTCTCCCTCTCCAGTAAAAAAAAAAAAATTAAAAAAAAATCTGGGGATATTTTCAGCAGTAAAGCATCTGAGCAAGTGTGATGGGGAAATTCTGTGGTGAATACCATAGTTCTTTTGGGCCCCCATTGAATTGGGCTGGGAAACAGGAAGTAATGACATTGAGGAAATATGTTCGGGAGCTCATGATGTGTATTAGCCTAATGTTCACTATGTTTCTTGTGTCCTTTGAAAAGGCTCTTGATTAACGAGCTAAGGAAGAGAACTTGATTGTGTTTTTTCTTAAGTTCTGACCTCATGAGCTTATAAAAGTGCGATAGTTGTGTGGTTATAGTTCTCTACAAAAAGGTGTAACGATTCAAATTTTCAAATAAAAGAACAAAAATCATGATAAAATTGTACTGGTAGATTTTCATATAAGAATATAATTATAATCTCCATCATTCATGAACATTTACTTATCCTAGGAGGACATTGAGATAGTTATTAAAAATCATACTTCCTGCCCTCCGCAGATTTTTATTTTAAGTGAATGTTGCTTTGTTGATAGATTTTTTACTTCGGATGTAGTAATAAAGCAGAGAGCATGCACTCTTATAGTTTAAAAAATATCCATGTAATTATTGATTGTCACACAAATATTCTTATTTGAGGTTTTCTTTTTTCCTTTTTTTCTTTTTTCTTTTTTTTCCCCAAACCATGAATTTATATACCCAGTTTGCTATTATAGCTTATTTTCAGCTTCTTCAAAGTAGTACTGAATAATATTGAATAGTATTGGCCTGGCCTCCAGATACAGCTTTCCACTTTCCCCTCTAGATGGGGCCATTTTCTGCCCCACGCTCCATCCGGTGAGCCTCGTTGTGGGGCGGGTGTCCATGCTTTTTGCCCCTCCGCCAGAACTCCCAGCTTTGAAGCTCGCACCATCAGAAGACAGCCCGTGTTACTGGCTGTGCTGCCGTCATTACAGATTTCTGGGTCTTTGCCCCTCATCCGTCAGAATCTTGCTGCATCGGGCGTACTGTCAGTCTGCATACCATTATTGAAGAATCGATATCCCTGTGAAGGGTCTTCCCTACCAGCTCCGCCCCCAACCACCTCTCTCCCCAAGAGCTTGTCTTTCCCTCCCACAGCTGCCTACACCCATGAGCTTCTTTTCATCATCACACTCTCTGGCCAGCACCCCTCATTTTCAGCTCACTTCCTCTGCTCCCCATCTCCAATAGCCCTTTGATCACTCTGAGACTTAAATTTGTCTTCACGCTTGCCCCTGCCCATCCTGCCCTCTTGTGACACTTTTCTCTCTTCTCAGCTTAGAGTCCCTGGTCCAGCCCCCATCACTGCCTCGCATACACATGAAACGCCCTTTCCTGGCTCTCCTCCATGGTCCTGCCCTGGCAAAGCCGAATCCTGGTTCAGTGTAATTCTCCACCTACCCTACCCCTGCATTGAGTGGTTAAACATGGCTGGAGAAAAACTCAGTGAAAATAACTGGTCTCACTTTAAGTTCATGACTGCTCGTCTCCAGTGAGCCCTCTCTGCAGACTGGCGCATCCAGTTCATTTTCCGAAGGTGTTCACCTTTCCGCTCACCTAGCCGACCCTGCACACAGTCCCTTCTCTCCATGAATCCGCAGTGCCTTCCACTCTGTCCTTGCCCCCATCTGATTAATTCTCATTACACTGAGAAGGAAGAAGAAGAAATAGATCTAAAAGACATTAAAATTGGTAAATCAGTGAAACATTTTAGGGGGTTAAAAAAAGTAAGCGGGCAGTATAAGAATGAAAATCAAAGAAGCCTATAGTGTCACCTTCTAGATAACCCTTGTTGACGTTACCAAAGAAAACAATTAATACATGTACCTGGTTTGAAAATTCCAACAGTGCAGAAAGGGAGAAGTGATAGCACGCCTCCCGAGCGAGCCTGAGCTCAGGCAGGCCTGCCTCTGAGCAGAGTTGGGGTCCTGCAGGGAGGCACCGCCACAGCATGTGGGGACGCAAACGAGAAAATGGGGTTGGGGTCGGAGGTATCAGGAGGGCCTCAGCACAGTGGGGAAACGTGAAGACAGGCCTTGAGCTAAACTACGGCTTCATGATGCAGTTTGCACTCAGGGTGGCTGAGGCTGGACTGCCCTTTGAGACAACTATTAATATTTCACTTGATAAGGTGCCATTCTCAGTCCAAGGGAGTGAGAATATGGCATAGTATTGGAAATGGTAGGTATCAATTGAATTATCCTCATTTGCGCTGGTTGACTTTTCTGTGCTTATAATGCTACTGCAGGGGTCGGCAAACTGCGGCTCGCGAGCCACACGCGGCTCTTGGGGTACGTACATGAGGCTCTGCAGTAAAATTGAAAATGAAAATAAAACTATCATAGTTTCATTTATAAAAATGTTAAGGGTATTATTCACATAATGGTGATTTCACTTGTTTTATGGCTCTCAAATAATTTTTAAATTGTTGTGAGGCACAGGATTGGCTCTTCCATCTCAAAAGTTTGCCGAACCCTGTGCTACTGAATTGATTCCATACTTAAATCTCATCGATAGTGATTTGTATGTTTAAAAATGGTTATAGTTTATAATGTATTAGTGTATATACTATTCCATATGATCATATTTTAAAAATATTTTTATTGTGTTAATAGTACATATATTTAATGCCTTCCATGAGTTATTCGTTAAGAACAGTACATGGTTTGGGGCAAAACATTTTATTTCAGAGTTACTTTGAAATCTCCATTTATTAAAATTTTTGTTTTTTGCAGAGTCATATTAAATCGGTAGACTCAGGAGAAACTAACATAGATGGAGCTATAGGTGAGTAGGTCATGGACATTTTATGCTCTTGATTGAGGCACTTTGACATTGTGATTTTGAGCATGTAAATAAGCACTGGTAATAGTTAACTGTGTTCCTAGGACTGACGGCATCGGAAGAATTTATCAAGGTCACGTTGTCGGCTTTTGAAGCAATAATACAGTATCCTGTTTTATTGAAAGACTATTGTTCTACGGTGAGTTCTGCAAGCTTTTGACACAGACACTTTTTCGTGTACTTGGGAATTCTGCATACTGTAGAAATCCGAGTGTATGCATATATCACAATTTACTTGTTTACTTTTGACAGACATTAGATTGTTTCTAGTTTTTGGCATTTACAAATACATTGCTATGGATATTCTTGTTTATGTGATTTGCTTTACATGAGGGTATTATTTTTAGGGTATGTACTTAGGGATGGAATTAGTGGTTATAAGGTATATGTAAATTCAGCTTGTGTACAAAATACCATAGTGTTTTCCAAAGAAGCGGTCCCAGTTTACAGTCACATCGGCAGTGCAAGCACCTAATCTCATCCTTCCCAACTCTTGTTTTTCAGACTTTTTAATAGATGGGTATATAGCCGTATTTCACCATAGGTTTAAATTTCTGTGTGATCAAGACTGTTAATGAGGCTGAGTAGTTTTTCAAATGTTTTTTGGCCATTTGGGAATACTCTCTTTATGAAGTGCGTGTTCAAATCTTTTTTTGATTTTGTTTTTTATCTAGTTTTTAAAATTTGTTGCCATAAAAAAGTTCATAATATTTTTCTTGCCATCTTTTTTAAGTGTCTTTATCATCTAATAATATCTTTTTTTAAAATTTTTGTGATTTATTGTTATTTCCTTTTCTGTTCTTAAGCAATCTAACTGGAGGTGTGTTACCTTTTTTATCGGAACCAGTCAGTTTCAGTTTTGCCAATCTCTATTGTATGTTTATTTTCTATTTCATTAATTTCGGCTCTGATCTTTGTTGTCTGTCTCCTTTCTTTGATTTATTTTTCATTCTTTTTTTTTTTTAGATAAATATTTAGTTTGTTGATTTTTAAAAATTATTTTGTTCTTTCTAATATATGCGTTTAAGATTATGTCTCCTAAATACTGCTTCCGCTGCATTCCGCAAGTTTCAGTATGCGGCATTTTGGTATCTTTCAGTCAAAATATTTGCTTTCCCTTATGGGTTAATTTTTTGAGGACCCTCCATACTGTTTTCCATAGTGGCTGTACCAGTTTACATCCCATCAGCAGTGCACAGGGGTTCACTGTTGCCTACATCCATGCCAGCATCTATGTCTTCTCTTCTTGGGGATGGCCATTCTAACAGGCATGAGGTGATATCTCGTAGTTTTAACTTGTGTTTCCCTGATGACTAGTGATGTTGAGCATCTTTTCATGTACCTGTTGGACTTTTGTATGTCTTTGGAAAAATGTCTGTTCAGGTTAGCTGCCCATTTTAAAATTGAGTTATTTGTTTTTTTATTCTTGAGTTATATGAGTTCTTTATCTATTTTGGAGATTGACCCCTTATGAGATATACGGTTTGCAAATATGTTTTCGCATTCCATAGGTTGTCTTTTTACGTGGTTGGTGGTTTCTTTTGCTCTGCAGAAGCTGTTTAGTTTGATGTAGTCCCACTTGTTCATTCTTGATTTTGCTGCTTGTGCTTTAGGCGTCATATCAAAAAATAAAATGGTTAACAAGGTCCATGTCAAGCAGCTTATTCCTCTGTTTTGTTTTAGGAGTTACATGGTTTCAGATCTTTTTTTTAAGTCTTTAATTCATTTAATCCATTTCATGTTGATTTTTGTGAGTGGAGTAAAATGCGGGTCCAGTTTCATTCTTTTACATGTGAAGATCCAGTTGTCACAGCACCATTTATTGAAGAGACTATTTTTTCTCCAGTGAGTATTCTTGGCCCCCTTGTCAAATAGTAGTTGATCAGATATACTTGGGTTTATTTCTGGGCTCTTGATTTGTTCCATTGGTCCATTTGTCTGTTTTTATGCCAGTGCTTGACTGTTTTGATGACTATAGCTTTATAGCATAGCTTGAAATCAGGGAGCATGATGCCTCTTGCTTTGTTTTTCTTTCTCAGAATTTCTTTGGCTGTTCAGGGTCTTTTGTGGTTCCTTATAAATTTTAGGAGTGTTTTTTTCTAGGTTTTTTTTTTTTTCCCCCCCTGTAAAAAATGGCATTGAATCTATAGATGGCTTTTGGTAGTATTGACATTTTAACAAGATTCTTCCAATTCATGAAACTTCCTGTTCTTTAAGTAAAATACAGACCTTATCCTACTCAACTGCAATTAGTCTATACATTATATATATATATATATATATATATATATATATATATATATGTATGTTACTTTTGCCTGATATTTTAAAGTCTGTCTTGTTCATTTCTCTCTTTTTAAACTTATTATTAAATAATAAAATAACACTCACTATTATTGCTACTATACTATAATGTTCATTTAGATTTACCCACATATTTACTACTTTTTTTTGTTTCTATTTTTCCTTCTTAGTTCTCACTTCTTCCATCTGACTTCACTTATTTCTGACAGAAGTACCTTGGTCACAGTTCTCCTTATCTTGGGTGTGTTGGTGGCAAACTGTTTGATAAAGTCATTGTTTCTTGAGGGAGATTTTTCTCCTGGATATTAAATCTAGGTTTGCAGTTATTTTCGTTATTGTTTAGTACTGTGAAGATGTTATTTCATTAGCTTATGTTCTGACTGTTGCTATTGAGAAGTTAGCTGATAGTCTGTTTTTCCTGTGAAAATCTCTGTTTCTTGTCCCCTTTTAAGACTTTTTTTGGGGGGTGAGAAGAAGAGGATTTTTGGTTTTCTGTAGACTCACTGTGATTTTACTAAATGTGAACCTTCTTTATTCTGCTCAGGCTTCTCTGTGCCTCTTGAATCTGGGGATCGTCCTTTTTCATAATTTCTGGAAAATTCTCAGCCATCATCTCTGCTTATTCTCTCTATATTTTGTTCTGCCATCTTCAGCAACTCAGATCACATGTACATTAAGCTTTCTCACTGTATTTTCTGTACTTCTTATTATCTTTCTATTCCATCTTTTTTTCTCTCTCAGTGTTATATTCTGGATAATTTTGTTTGTATTCTGGATCATTAATTTTCTGCCTTCCTTGTGCAGTCTGGTACCAAATATTGCCATTGAGTTTTTAATGTTGGTTATTTTTCATGTAGAAGAAGTTCTGTTATCACTAGAAATTCTGTTTGTCTATTTTTTTCAGTTTACTATATTGCTTTTTATAATTTTCTGTTCCCTATGTATCTATTTCCCAGTTTGTGATCTACTAATTCACATTGATTAGATGTAGCTGTTTCTACTGTGTGTGATAATACAGCATCAGAAGACTGGGGTGTGATGTGGTGTCTGTTATACATGGTTCGTGTCCATGTCATCTTGTTTTCTTGGAGACCTTCCTAATGTTTCCTGTTTCTTGGTCGTTAGGCATTTCCTGAAGCCTCTTGTTGATGTTCTGTCCTCCAAGAGCCTTCATGATAGTTCGGGGCTCTGCTAGTCAGGGCTACCTCAGACTAAGCTCATTAGTACCTGTTTTTTTTTTTAAGAGATTTTATTGGGGAATTGGGGAAGGGGAACTGTGTTTCTCCAGGACCCATCAGCTTCATGTCAAGTTGTTATCCTTCAATCTTAGTTGTTGGAGGGCGCAGCTCAGCTCCAACACCAGTCGCTGTTTTCAATCTAGTTGCGGGGGGAAGGGGGGGCAGCCCACCACCCTATCGTCCCACCATGCCACCATCCCACCATCTCATGCGGGAGTCGAACCGGCATCCTTGTTGTTAAGAGCATGCGCCCTAACTGAGCCATCGGGCCGCGCTCGTTTGCACCGTTCTGCCAATCCCTGAGACTGTAGGTCTGAGACCGCAACTCCCACAGCAGCTTTCCCAGCGTTGCCCGGGAGCGCGAATGCAGGTGCAGCACTAGGTTTCGTTTCACTTACTCTGAGAGGGTGATGCCTGCTCCTCAGCGCCCCCGCTCTGTGTGGGAGACTCAAGCCCTGGATTCTGACCTCTGTCTCTCACCCCAGGGGCCCTACAGGATGCATTTGTAGTGTTCGTAGATGCCTCCAGGCACAGTCAAAAAACTGTGCTGAGATAATGGGATACAAATGCTCTTACTGTTAAGGCTTTCATGGGTCTGCAAGTGCCCCCACCCTTTTTAAATATTTTTAAGGTTTTGTTCTTTTATAGTGTATCTGGCATTTTAAATTGTTTTCAGTGAGAGAGTTAACCCAAATAACCATACCCACTATTACCAGAAACCCTATTTGTTATGGTCACTTTCTGAGCAATGATTTCTTAGTCTTCCGTTGAGATAGTACTTGCTTAAGTGTTGGCTTATTGATTCTTTTCTCTAACGAGCAGTAACTCCATGGATAATTTGTTGCGATCCAGTAGTTACAAATATCTCTACTTAACATTAATATAGATATTTAGTTTATTTTCTAATCATGAAATGCTATCATAATAATCACTGAAACCACAAAATGTATTATGATTGGAAAGGTATCATTGCAACTCCTGGGCTTCATAAAAATATTGTTTTAATGCTATCACTCATGGGAAATCCTCTAATTACCACTTCTTGAGCATGACTGGAATACATGAAGTTGAAGATTCAGCCCTCCAAGGAGCATAACATTGCTTGAAATGCTGCACAAACTATGTTCAAGTCTGCTAATCAATACTTATTGTGCGGAAGTGGTTACATGCATTTAATTCTTGCTGAGCACAAGTGCTTACCTCAGATTTTTCCCAGCGTTTAGAGCATTTAGTACCTCAGAGTTGGAAATCATCAGTGTGGCCTACAGAGCAGTTAGAAATACCACAATGACTTGATTTGTACAGAGAATTTGTTTCATTCGTGGTGGTTCAAAAAATGTTATAATAGCAAAGGGCAAAATAAAGGTGATTCTTGATTAGGAGGTTCTGGTAATATACATGTTGCCTAAAATATATTTTAATTTCTTTAGATAACAAAGTATCATGATTCATTTGCATTAAGTTTAAAAACAGACAAAACTAATCAATTAGAAGTAAGGAGAGTGGTTACCCTTGAGGCAGGCAGAGCCTGGAGGCTTTGTAATCTGGTCATGTCCTTTTTCTTTTTTGGTCTAGGAGCTAGTTACATGAGTGTGTTCATATTGTGAAAGTTAACAGAGATACATACCTAGGATTAGTGCAGCTTTGTGTATGTATGTTATAGTAAATTAAAAAGCTTAAATATGAAAATATTTTTAATTAAAAAGAAAACAGTGTGTAGACCTTGGTAACAAAGCCTTTTTTATTTTTCAAAGTTAATTTATATGAATTAGCAATCTATCTGTCTATTAATCATTGCTATGGACTCATATTCTGTGTTAGCTTCGCATAGCTGCTGTAACAAATGACCAGAAGTTTAGTGGCTTAAAACAATACAAATTTATTGTTTTACAGTTCTGGAGGTCAGAAGTACACTGGGTCTCTGGGGCTAAGATCAAGATGTCAGCCTACCTGTGTTCCTTTTGGAGGTTCTAAGGGGAAACTGTTTCCTTGCTTTTTCTAGCTTCTAGGGTCTGCCTGTGTTCCTTGGCTCCTGCCCTCTTCTTCCACCTTCAAAGCAGCACACACAGCATCTTCCCCTCCCCTCCCCCCTCTTTTGTTGTCACATCCCCCTCTCTGACTCTGGCCCCTTTTTCTCCCTCTTATAAGAACCCATTCTACTACAGCAGGCCCTCCCGTGTAATCCAGGAGAAACACTTCATCTCAAGATCCTTAACTTAGTCACTTCTGCAAAATCCTATTTGCCCTGTAGGGTAACAAATCAATAGGTTTTAGGGATTAGGGTGTGGACATCTTCTACAAACATTCTGCCTGCCACAGATTCAGATTTTTATCATTGGCTTCATTACTGTAATTATTACCCAGATTTGGCCAGTGTCAACCCTTTCAAGCTGCCTCCTGTGTTCCTGAGACATACCCCAGCATTTTTTGAGCGATTCTTCACCTTCTATTACAACAGGCTATTCTTGCCTCACTTTGTCAGCGCCCTGCCCAGGCCCTGGGAGCAGTCCTTTCTCTGAGGAGCCCTGGTTCCCTTTTGTGGGAAATGGCACGAGAGCCCACAGTCAGGGAACTCAGTGTGCGCCTATCTCCTGGGATATAGCTTCTAGGCCCTTCCAAGAAACAGAGCTAGAAAATATATACCTGTATATACACATATGAACACACAGTTACCCACTCATACATGTATTTACATGCATGCACACATGCGCATATTTTGAAATCATGAGTGCACACCAATATCCCCAAATATAATCCATCCCTACATGGTTCTCTCGTGCCTTCCCCCGTACTGTATTTGTGTGGCCCTCCTTCCTTTGTCACAGTTCTGGCTTCCAACAGCATCAGCACACGTTCTCATTTGCTTAATCCTGTAATACACCGGAAATTGTTCCAGAATTGCTTTACCCAAACCAGCACAGAAACAGACCTGATGAAATCAGGATTTGTTTGCAGGATTCCCTCCACCTCTCCACCTCGCAGATATCACCCAAGCAGGACTGGGGGTGAGGAGTGAATACAGTGTTCATAGGGTACCTGGGTCAGTCCCCCTCCTCCCCTCTTAATTAGTGTGGTTATAATATTCATTTGAAATACAGTTTATTTGTTTTCAGTTTGCTTTCAGTTTTAGGTCTTTTTCCCCCTTCCTATCCTTTCAGGTTTTATTGTTTTGAATATGCAGAAGATTAACTTGATTTCAAAAGTCAGAACTATAGAGAAAATGTATTCAGAGGAGTGTCACTCCCTTCCCCTGGGTGTAGATCCCTCCGGCTCCATCACTGCTCCAGGTACCTTCCCCAGTCTTAGAGGTAACCAAGTTCATTGTTTTCTGGCATATCCAGTTAATGTTTCTTTTTTGCAAAGAGAATATGTTTTCTTATTCCCCCTTCTTTCTTAGACAAAAGGTAACATATTGCTCTTTTGCACCGTTGCTTTTTCAGTAAATAACAGATGTTGGAAATTACCTTGTGTCAGTTCGTGGAGACCTTCGGCCTTCTTCATTAGTGCAGATAGTAATGCATTGTGCTTGTGTACACCATAAGTTATTCAGCCCATCTCCTGTGTTTGGTCATTTCAGTAGTTCCTAATATTCTTCAATTTCTCAAACTTTTTTAGTGGAGCATGATGTTTGTGCTTCAAGTGATGTGACCTCACTTAATGGAAGACGATAAACAGAACACCCCTGGTTCTTAGGATTCTTGTACAAATATCTAGATGTACTTTTAACTATAAGTTTATTATGTGAAGTGGAGCTAGGACAGGTTAACACTGATGGGCCACCACCCAGGTGTGGAGATCTTTACCTGTACAGGTCATTATTTCATTGGTTTGGACAGCAAGATGGTGCCGTTGGGCTGTGAATAGTTTCTTTTGCCTTTTTATCAGTCTAGATACAACAAATACATTCTTTAGATCAGGAATGAATTCAGTTGTAAACAACGGGAATTTTGTTTGTTGTCGCCAAAATAGTTAATCAGATGAGATGGCAGTTTTCAAAATTAGACTGTGGAAGAACTTTGTTCTTTCTTCATTGTCCGTTTTCATTTGGGGGAAGAGCTTGTTATAGTGGAGGTTTCAAATCGTATTGGATTGTGCTCTGTCTGATATAGCTAGGAAATCATAGAGGTGGTGTACAGTGAATTTACATTTTTTGAATCTATTTCTAAAAATAACCAAGATTAATTTGTCATAGCTCTTTGATGTATTTGATGAAGCATGAGGACTATGTGTCTCTTTTTCCCCCAAAATTTTGATTTTGATCGTTGTTTATCTTAAACTTGAGTAATGATCACCAGCTCATATATTATTAATTTGATGGTTTAATGTCAACCCATGCATATCAGAGTTTGCATTATACGCTAAAGTTCCTTTCATGAATCATGATGGTTTTGATAAATTACTGTTTTGATGATCATAATGTCATTTTGACCTGAGGACTTTTTCAGAATTAAATGAGCTTGGTGGTTTATTAAATGTCATGCAGACTTTAAATCCAGGATAAAATTAGCTGTTGATTTTCTTTTCACTCCTTTGATTAGTGATTCTGTCAGTGGAAAAAAGCATCGATAGTGGTTGATAGTGGTTTTGTGTTTGCAGAGATTTGAACCGCGTCTTTAACATCTTTTCTCTTAGGTTGTTGATTATATCCTGCCACCCTTGGTCTCCTTGGTTCAAAGCCAAAATGGTAAGTGACCACATCAATGAGAATTCCATCAGTTCCACATTCTGTTTTCATTCTATCTCCATGTAGTCACATTCTTGGCATTTTTCCCCCCTTTCAAGTGGAGTGGAGACTCTTCAGCTTGCGGTTGCTCTCAGAAACCACATCTCTGCTCGTGAACCAGGAGGTTGGGGATGGCAGGAAGGAGGCGAAGGTCGATTCTGACAGCAATCTTTTGGCGCTCATCAGAGATGTCTTACTTCCCCAGTAAGTACTGTGCACTGCAGTCACCCACACAGGGGTAGGATGTCCAGGATGCTGCTCTAAAGCCAGGTCCCTGGATGGCACCAGGGCCTCGGTGTCCTTATAGTCATCACGTCCTGTGCTGATGCACTCAGTGTAAAGGGGTCTAGACGCAGAGGCAGCAACCACCACGCTGAATAGGAACCAGTGGGATCTTAGTCCATTTTTAAAGCTTTTTCTGTTTTCCACAAGCACATGACTGAGTTAAAGGTGTTCATGACTTGAGGGATGAGGTTTATTATTCAAGGTCAACATTACAAGACCACTGGAAGATGAAATTGGGACTTTTCCTGGCACTACTCAGAAATAGTAGAGATGGAAAGAAACCTTCCTTCCCCACAAACTCTTGGAATGGAAATTAAGTTTAGCTACACACACACACACACACACACACACACACACACTCACACTCACACATATACGTATATATGTATATGTATATGTGTATATATATATACACACACACACATATATACGTATATACGTGTATATATACATATACATATATATATATATATATATATATATATATATATATATATATATATATACATATATACATATATATATATATATATATATATATATATATATATATATATATGAGAGAGAGAGAGAGAGAGAGAGTGAGTGAGTGTCATGGTGGAACAAGTAATGTATTAACTAACAGAAAGAGGTTATCTTTTTCCTTTTATTCCATTGCTCACATAGCAAACATGCAGTAGGATGACCATGGAGATCCAATCTCAATGCGTTTTGTACAGTAACATGCTGGCTGTACAGGCTTGCAGCCAAGGAGCAATAGCAGGCTCCACCATCCAGCCCAGCTGTGCAGTGGGCGCACCACCTTGGGTTGTAAGACTGCACTCTGATGTTTGCACAAGGATGAGATGGCCTAACAGTGCCTTTCTGTGAACGCATCTCTGCCGTTAAGTGGCACGTGACTGTATGAGAGTGTATGTGTGTGGTTTGTGTTTATGTGGGTAAATATAAGATTAGAGCCTTGTGTCATGGGGTTAATTCATGCTTTCTGTGCCATCTTACACTTGTAAACTATTTTTATGTAATCATATGCATTTTTTTGATAAGAAGGTGCCTAAAAATGTAGTTTCTGTGCAAAATACGATTTGGAAAATACATGCTTTGGGTGTCTGCTGTCTGACAACTTGCAGAGAAGTATGTTTCAGGGCCTGAGATACCTTCCCCAGCAGGGACAGCATTTCCTGCAGCAGGACTTCACAGTGGAGTCCATAGCCTGTTAACACGAGTGTGAATTGGAAATAAAATGTCTTCATATCTGAAGGTTGCGCACTTTTGGGGCAACAGCTTGTAAAATAAAAAGTGCTAACTCTCATTCAGCGCTCCTGTTTTATTCATTTGAGCTGGAATACATAAAATGTATTCGGTTTAATGTGCATTTTACCTTTTCTAGAGATGGGGAATTAAAGGGGAAAATACAAATGTAAACCATATGGCAATTCAAGAAAAAAAAGTAGTGTAGATGAGTTCAGGTTTTTATTAAGCAACTTGAAATGCACTTTGGATAATGGTATGGGATTTATTGGGATGTGATTGGGATGTTTGCGAAGCCTGTGGACTGAGGCTGATGTGAGGTGCAGGGCTCTGCATTTCATTCTCTAAGCCTCAGCTTTCTCGTCTGTAGAAGGAGGGTAACACTACCCAACTCCAGAGAAAATTGTGAGGATTCAATGGGATACTTCTTGTAAAACATTTGGCGTAGTGTGTGGGACATAGTACACACTTGACAAATGATTAGCATTATTGTTATTATCAGGCCCATTATTATAATCTCTCCTATTGCCCTTTAAAATGAAGATTGTAGTGGTACAGTAATGGCAACAGTACTTACTTCATGGACGTGAAGTGGCCTTTAAATACAGAATGCGGATTGTGCATACCTGGCATATATATAGTAAGGGCTCAGGAAGTGTTATGTAAAAATTTTACAAAACAAAAGATAAGTAATATATTCATTTCACTTTGACTCTGGAAAACTGGAAACCTTTGCAAGGAGTTTGGTCTTTGAAGATAGTACTCAGTATTATAAGTTCGGAAAACTCATGTTCTCCATTGAGCATGTAAATATAATGGCTGAAAATTATGATGTTTCCAGAGTTTATGGGAACTATGTGGCATCTGCTGCAATTTGGTAAATGCGGTGTTCCCCTTTATGCAAAGGCAGTAAGGTCCCCCAGTGGAAGTCTGAAACCTAGGATAGCCCTGAGCCGTAACCCACTTCTCCAGCTCTGCTGGATGTGCGGCGGTGGCTTCTTCATCGGCAGATGCAGCCTCTCCAGTAACTTCTGTATTTTTCAGTCCAAACCTATTCCTGTATCTGTGTAACCAGCCCGTGCTTGCTAAGTGGCTTGGTGTCACTGGTTTCAGGGGTTCCCTTGCTGATACAGACTCAGTGCTTTCTTGTACAACCTACTGCCATCACCTGGAACACGTTTTCTGTTCATGTCCTCCATCCATAAATGTAATATTTTTTCCATCTTAACTAAGCACTTCTCACTCACTGTGGCCGTAACTTGCAGTTTGAGGTGTGACAGCAAAAGCAGCACAGATTTTTTTTTTCTCCTTCACAATTTTACAGGTACATGATTTGTTCTTTCTTATCTCTTAGTAACCTCAGCATACGTGGTTTTTTTTTATTAAGTCAAGAACTTTCACTTTTTAAAATTTTATTTTATTTTTTAGCTGAGCCATCCTGCCTTTTTTCACTTAAAGGAAGCACTTTACAGCTTGTCTTCGGCATGTCCAAGTTGCCAGCATCACTACTCTTGCACTTTGGGGCCATCATTAAGTAAAATAAGGGTTACCTGAGCACAAGCACTGTGATACTGCGACATTTGATCTGATAACCGCGATGGTTACTAAGTGACTAACAGGCGAGTCATGTGTACAGCGTGGAGATGCCGGACAAAGGGATGCTTCACGTCCTGGGTGGGATGGAGTGGGACTGCGTGAGATTTCAGTAACTACTCCAGAACATTGTGTGATCTAAAACTGAGGAATTATTTCTGGAATTTTTTATTTAAATTTTCAGACTGCTGTTGGCTGCGGGTAACTGAACCCATGGAAAAGGAATCTGCAGATAAGCGGGGACTGCTGTCGACATATTAATGTTAATACTTTTAATTTTGTTAAAGTTTTAATCCTTTTTTTGACCTTAATATTTTGGATAAAGAGAAGGTGACAGTCTTTTTATGGCTCCCCAGTTTTTGCACAAAAGTGTTAAGAGTAATTTACTTGCAAACAATAACCTCAACTCTAACTTGGAAAATAATTATTTGTTCACGTAACTGAGAAGTCCAGAACTTGTGCCGGCATCAAATATAACTGGATTCAGGGATTTGAGTTCATGGCTTCAGAACTGTGTGTGTGTGTCTCACCATCTCTCTACTTTGCCTACATCTCTGTGGCTTTGTTTTCAGAGAGGTTCGTGTTGGTAGTTAAATGGCTCCCGGGCGGTGATCATAGAGAAAGAGTGGATGTCATTTCTAATAGCTCTGGAAAAATTTTCATGAAGGATAATAATTTAATCTTGTTAAATACCGTGTAAGACCTGTGTTCCAGGTGCTTATCAAAACTGCTATGTGATATGAATGAAAACTCAGTTGTAGAAATAAATATCTTATTAAAATAACCATTAGTTACGGTTCTCAGAGAAACAGAACCAATAGGATGCATATGTACTCGTATATAGAGAAAGAGGTTTATTTTAAGGGATTGGCTCACATGATCACGGAGGCTGAGAAGCCTGAAGATCCGCAGTCCACAAGCTGGAGAATCAGTGGAGCCAGTGGTGTGATCCAGTTTGAGTTCTCAGGCTTGAGAACCAGGAGAGCTGATGGTATGAGTACCAGTCTGAAAGCTGACAGGCTGGAGACACAAGAAGGGCCGATGTTTCAGCCCAAAGTCTGCAAAAGACCAACGTCCCAGCTCAAGGCAGTTGGGGAAGGGGGCGTTGCTTCTTATCTGTCTTTTTGTTCTGTTTAGGTCTTCAATTTACTTGATGAAGACAACCCACATTAGGGAGAGCATTCTGCTTTACTCAGCCTACTGACTCAGTCATTCATCTCATCCAGAAACGCCCTCATAGACACAGCAGCATAATGTATGAGCAAATGTCTGGGTATCCTGTGGCCCAGGCAAGTTGACACATAAAATTAACCGTCACCACATCTATTATAAAGATCATGAATGACTTGCTTACTTTATCCGTTACGAATTAGTATCAAAGATTCATGACCTCCATGACATGCTTAGCTTTCTATGAGCTTGAGTTACTAGTATTTCTTTAGTGCCTTTTGTATGTGGAGGATTACCATGCTATTTATAGGGAACTGGTTTTCGGGTTGGAATTTGAGACCTAGGTATGATTGGATAGAAAAGGAGTGGGCACCCCGGGCAGAAATGGAGTAAGCGGTGGTTTGGGAGAGGCAGAGCAGTGGGCCGTGGGCAGACCAGTTTCTTTCCTGAAGATATGTGCACGTGAGAGTGACGTGAAATAAGCTTGGGAGAGAATGTTTTCTCCATCAGCCCATTTATTCACCAATACTAATTGACTATGTCTTATTTCACTGGCCTATACCCAGTTGCTGGCAATTGAATAATAACGAACAAGATAGGCACAGCCTCTGTCTTCATGAAATGTACTGTCTTGGTAGAGCCAAATATTTCAGAAGTCAATTTTTTTTAACCGAAGAAGCTTATAAGTGATGCAAGTAAAAATATTTGCTTAAACATAAATTAGATGGATATTGAAACCACCCTTCTTACATTGGGGGGGGCCCACGCGATGCCCGTAAACTTGCTGTGGAACACATGTGCCTTCTGCAGCATGCTGTGCGCTGTTTCTTTGCTGTTAATTTTCACAGTTCACCCATGTACCATTCTAACGCTCAGGGCTTCTCCACATGATGTGACTGTAGGACATG